TCTACTCAAGTACTTGCCCAAGGCAAGGACATTTTGTTCTATTAACCTGGCTTTCCATGATGCTCACCTTCCCGACAGGATCTCTGAAGACAAAGCGTGTCCATAAGCAAATGTGGTGAAGAAAGCTGATGGTACCTAGCTATCAAAAGATATAGCATCTGGGGTTTTAAAGGCTTGAAGATAAACAAGCAGCCATCTAGCTGAGAAGCAATAAACCCCACATGGAAGAAGCACACCAGCCTGTGTGATCATGAGGTGTTCATGGGATCAGGTATCACACATCAAAGAACAGAAGTCATATCATTGTGAATGAAGGGGAGTGCAGAGTGGAGACCCAAAGCCCATCTGTGGGCAACTGGACATCCCATTACCGAAGGGTCACGGGGAGAAGACGAGCCAGTCAGGGTGCAGTGTAGCAATGATGAAACATACAACTTTCCTCTAGTTCTTTAATGCTTCCTGCCCCTCCACCACCACCCCCACTATCATGATCTCAATTCTACCTTACAAATCTGGCTAGACCAGAGAATATACATTGGTACAGATAAGAGCTGGAAAAACAGGAAATCCAGGACAGATAAACCCCTCAGTCCCAATAATGAGAGTAGCAATACTAGGAAGGGAAGCGGAAGGTGGGAGAGAACTGATCACAAGAATCTCCATATAACTCCCTCCCTGGGGGTCAGACAATAGAAAAGTGGGTTAAGGGAGACATTGATCAGTCAGAAAAAATAATAATTTATAAATTACCAAGGGTTCATGAGGGAGGGGAGCAAAGAGGGAGGGAGGGGGAGGAAATAAGGAGCTGATACCCAGGGCTCAAGTAGAAAGCAAATGTTTTGAGAATGATGATGGCAACAAATGTACAAATGTGCTTGACATCATGGATGGATGGATGAATTGTGATGAGTTGTATGAGCCCCCAATAAAATGATTTTTTAAAAGAAAGGAGAGAGGCCACCGGTCTGAATTAGTCGAAGGAGAGGAAGCCACAGAAGTCTGGCTGTGGAGTCAACGCAACTTGAAGGGGTCCTGTTGCTGTTGTGGGCCCTCTAGTAGATTCCAAACCCTTGCAATCCCCTCTGACAGAGCAGCACTGCCCCCACCGGGCTGACTAAGCCCTATCTTCCTGGCAGCACGTCACCAGGTCTGTTTTCTGCAAAGCCAATGGGTGAACTTGAACCACCAACTTTTCCATTAGCAGCTGCACATGTGATCACCACGCCACCAGGGCTACTTCTAAGGGGTTATACGGGGAAGAGACTCCTTAAATCATCACAGATCAAGACATCAGCCATGGCCCTCACCTGGGCTGATGCCACTGGTGTTTGAGATAAGGACTCCGGGGTGTCACAGTGAGGGGGACCATGGTGTGCATAGTGGGAAGGAGTTTCTGAGCAGATTTCTGCCACTGTGCCCTCCCCACCCCAGCAAGCCAGCTCTTCCCCCTGCGCTTACCCCGAAAGAGCGGCCCTTTCGCAACAAGGTTGGGTGGGGGTCCAGGAAAGCGCTGCTGCCGTCCTCATCATCCGTGATTGCGACCTTGCCCAGGTAGATGAAATAAAAGCTGTTGCCCCTCTGTCCCTTCTTGATGACCACACGTCGGCGGCCAAACCTGGAACGAGGGCCATGGCCGGTCAATCTGGTTGTAACACAGAGGCTGGACTGGGCCAGGAAGAGATCGGAACTGGTTGTGCTCTTGGCTCTGGTGTGACTTCTCCGCCAGGTTTTTTTTCTGCCCAGGACAGCCCAACCCAGCGACCCAG